TTCCCTTCCACTCATTAGTGTGGTCCAGAGAAAAAGGCAAAAACAACAACGTTAATGAACTTTGAACAGACATTTGCAGGAATTTCTAAAGATGTTTTATGGGTGTTCTGAAAGTGATTTCATAAGTGTGGGGAATTTACACTTAGTTTTCTTCTGACTAAGAACAGAGTGATCAATCTCACCAAGTTATAAAAGATAAAAAATCTTTGTGTCTAAAATACCACAAGTGAGAATTCACAATCTAACATTAGGCTGTTAAGCTGCTAACTGTCCTTGATTGCTATTTATTTTCTACCATCCTTTCCCAATTTGAGGTACTGATATATTAGAGCTTAAGCAACATTTTATGTTTTATATTAAAACATAAAAAAATCTTTGTGTCTAAAATACCACAAGATTACACGCAGAATGAAAAATAGCAACAGACCTAGAAACTAAACTGTTTGCTTTTTGAACTCTGACTCATTTATGACAAAAATGATAAACAAATCTTCTAACCACCCTTACCAATTAGGAAAAATAAAAAATAAAAAAGAACAGAAAAACAAAGAAAAGACCTAGTACTTGTTCAGCACTACTGCTTTTAATTTCTCGGACTCTTCATTACCACATAGCAGACAGCAGTCACAAGCACGGGGCCTAGTTTTAGATCTCTAGATGGTCTGAGTCGTCTGTCCGACCAATAACCTGCTTGGAGACTATTCCTGCTCATCACACATATGCCTTCAAAAAATTGTATCTTAAGGGCAAATAAACCAACAGTCCTCATGATGTCAAGTGTACTTTTCCTAGTATACTTCCTTCACCAAAGATAAATGTTTCAAGATTTTTATAAAAATATGGCTTTCAGCAAATATTACACACAGCAAACAGACCGGCACAGGCATGTCTTTGAGAGGCTGCACTAATAACCTGATGTCATTTACCTCCAATATGCGGCAGTGGAGAGCATAAACGTTACATGAAGTTTTCTTACCTAAAATGTTTAATCAGAATCTAAATCAAACCTCAACCCAACTTTCCATTTATAAGAAATGCATGAGATAGGAACATGGTAAGGAAACAATCAAACAGAAAATTGGTCTGGACTCTTCAAAATGTCAGTGTCATATGGGGGTAAAAGTAAGGGGCCAAGGAGACACTAAAGAGATACAATAACCAAATGCAAGCTGTGGACTTTGTTTGGATCCTAATTTACAAAAAAATTATGTAAAGTTGAATTAGGTGAAAGTTGGAGAAATCTAAATGTGGACTAGGTATCAGATTACAGTTCATTTTCATAGGTTTGACAGCTCTTGTGTTTGGTGAAAGACCATCCTTACACTTAGGAGAAGCATGGTGAATTAGGACCCAGGGGTCATAATGCCTGCAACTACTTTCAAATAAATCAGCAAAAAAGTTCTGATAAACAGTTAAGTGTATATATGTGCATAGAAAGATAAATAAAGCAATTATTAAGAGTTTTTTAATCTAATGTAAAGTACATAGGAAATACAGTCAATAATTTTATATAATAAAAGCCTAGGTGGCGTCATGCCCTCGCGCGACGCCCTGGCACGACAGCCTCACGTGACATCGCTACACACACAGCAGAGGCGGTGCCTGGTGGCCGCTGAGTACCACAGCTATATACGGCGCGCGGAGGGGACCGGTCCCGCGTCTCCAGGTCCTGCATCAGCCTCGCGCAGGGAGGAGGTGGGTTCCGGCAGAGGAGGCGGGTCTCGGCAGGGGAGGGCAGTTGTGGGCAACCTGGCCGGCAGGAGAGGGCAGTTGTGGGTGATCAGACCAGCAGGGGAGCAGTTAGAGGGCAATCAGGCTGGCAGACAGAAGCGGTGAGGGGCAATCAGGTAGGCAGGTAGGCAGACAGGCGAGCAGTTAGGAGCCAGCAGTCCCAGATTGTGAGAGGGGTCCCAGATTAGAGAGGATGAAGGCTGCCTGAGGGACATCCCCTACCCCTGCATGAATTTCGTGCACCGGGCCTCTAGTATTGTAATAAGTATGTATGGTGCCAGCTGGGTACTTGAAGTATTGGGGGGATCACTTAGTAAAGTATATGATAGTCTAGCCCTGTGGTCGGTAAACTGCGGCTCGCGAACCACATGAGGTTCTTTGGCCCCATGAGTGTAGCGTTTCCTAAGCCTTAGAAGTACCCTAATTAAGTAAATAACAATGTACCTACCTATATAGTTTAAGTTTAAAAAATTTGGCTCTCAAAAGAAATTTCAATCATTGTACTGTTGATATTTGGCTCTGTTGACTAATGTGTTTGCCAACCACTGGTCTAGCCACTATGCTATGCACCTGACACTAATTCAGGAAATACTGAATGTAAAATTTAATTTAAAAATTAAATTAAGCTTGGCCAGTGTGGCTCAGTGGTTGAGTGTCAATCTATGAACCAGAAGGTCATAGTTCGACTCCCAGTCAGGTCACATGCCAGGGTTATGGGCTCAATCCCCAGTATGGGGCATGAGAAAGATCAATGATTCTCTCTCATCAGTGATGTTTCTATCTCTCTCCCTCTCCCTTCCTCTCTGAAATCAATAAAAATATATTTTTTAAAATTAAATTTAAAAAAAATAACATTTTGAGTCTAGTCAGAGCAATATGGGAGATTCAACTATTCTTTCAACTTTAACATAGATTTGAAATTTTTAAAAATAAAAAAGTCCTTCTGCACTCCTAGGTTATAGAGATACCTTTGTATATTTTCTTTTATTCACACCAAGATTTTTGATTCCTCTGGAGTTCATTCTGTATGTGGTATGAGATACAGATCCTTTTTTCTTCTTCTATACAAAGTTCCAGCTTTCTCTACACAACCTATTAAACAATGTGTCCTTTTCCCACTGATCTGTGGAAGAATGAATTTTGGTTCCACTGAAAGAGCTAAGCAAAAGAAGGGGAAAAGGAATAAGAAAAGTAGGAGAAACAGCAAAGGGGAAAGAAAAAAAAGGTGCATATAAGTAAAGTATGAGTTTAGATGAGGAAGGGCTAAGAATAAATGAAACTATTATCAAACTCCATATTTACTAAAGTATATAAGAAGTCCGTCGGAAAAAATAACTGAGCACCTATTACATAGTTATATACACACACACACACAAACACACACACACTCAAAGTTATTCAGGAAAACGTCTAATTTATCTGGTCCCACCATATCAGAGAGAACATTTCCAGGAATTACACCATCTGCTACCAACCAGTAAGTTGGATTACATTTTATTGAGTTTTTACTCTATATTTTTAAATATATATATATATTTTTTTTTAAATATATTTTTACTGATTTCAGAGAAAAAAAAAGGAGACAGAATCATCAATCAGCTGCCCCCGACACAGCCCCTACCCAGGAATGTGTCTGGGATCGGACCGTGACCTCCTGGTTCATAAGTCAGTGCTCACCCACTGAGCCACGACCAGAGCCTTTACTCTACTTTAGACAGAACAGAAAGGCTGGCAGAGCAGAGACATTTTAAGAATCTTGAAGGCTTTTTTACAAACTTTCAGATTCCAGGGGAAGTGTTTCAAGGTGACTTTAAAACCTATTTCTTTAATTTAGCACCTAGATCAGATTTTAAAACATAAACTCAGCCCTAACCGGTTTGGCTCAGTGGATAGAGCGTCGGCCTATGGACTGAAGGGTCCCAGGCTCGATTCTGGTCAAGGGCATGTACCTTGGTTGCAGGCAAATCCCCAGTAGGGGGGGTGCAGGAGGCAGCTGATCTATGTTTCTCTCTCATCCATGTTTCTAACTCTCTATCCCTCTCCCTTCCTCTCTGTGGAAAATCAATAAAATATATTTTAAAAAATAAAACATAAACATAGAATTCATAACTCTTCATCCCACTACTGACAGCAGGTCGGAAAACGTAAATGTTCTAGAGCAGTGGTTCTCAACCTTCTGGCCTTTAAATACAGTCCCTCATGTTGTGACCCAATCATAAAGTTATTTTCGTTGCTAGTTCATAACTATAATGTTGCTGCTGTTATGAATCGTAACGTAAATATCTGATATGCAGGATGGTCTTAGGTGACCCCTGTGAAAGGGTTGTTCAACAGCCAAAGGCGTTGCAACCCACAGATTGAGAACCGCTGGGTTAAAACAATGTGATGGGAATCCAGAGAGAGCTGGATTCCTGTAGGAATATAGCCATTGCTGAACTCTAGTGAGGCATGGGACGGGGTGGGGAGGTGAGTGAGGAGAATAAATACCCTTACCTCTTCCTCCTTGTGATTTCCAGTTTCCCATTTGTGATTTATTACTGAGGCTCGCGAGCCACATGCGGCTCTTTGGCCCCTTGAGTGTGGCTCTTCCACAAAATACCACGTGCAGGCGCGCACGTACAGTGTGATTGAAACTTCGTGGCCCATGCGCAGAAGTCGGTTTTCAGCCTGGGCGAGTCTATTTTGAAGAAGTGGCGTTAGAAGAAGTGGGGGGTGGTGGTCGGTTGGTCGGGCGACGGGAGACGCGGTGCAGGTGGCCTCGGGATACGCAGCGTGGGGGAGGCGCCCGCGCGATTCATGGGCGAGTTGAGTGAGCCAGTCAGTCAGCAGTC